AAGGACTGAGCCAGCTCATTGGGGTTGCTTGTCTTAAACTTGTCCCCAAAGGCCTCCACCTCCTATTGCCATCCTCCTGGAGACTAGAATTTCAACTTATGAATATTAGGGTGACACAAGCATTCAGACCAAAACAAAAGTGTTAATAATAATAACAGCAACAACAAAGGAACAATAAGGTTTCAAAATGTCAAATTCACTTTATGTCATTTGCTGCCTCTAGGATAAGATGATGTGTGTTGCATTTGGTTGCTAGAGTGCTAGGTTGTGAGAGATGTGAAGATTAATTAAAGGGTCACTTAGCTCTCCAGGCAGAGTAGACAGGGCTTTGGCCTGCCTCATACACATCTCCCGTTTCATAGGGTAGCATGCTAGGAGGGCATCTTGTACTTATGGACTGAAATTTCAAGGTCAAAGGAAAGTTCTCAACTATCTCTCTTGCCCCAGCGTCAGTTCTTCTAGGACTTTCTGAATTTGTAGAATTGGTTTCTGGTCTTGCCTTGTGTTTGCAAGGACTCCAAGTGTCCTCTCTGTACCAGGAAGTGTCATTGATTTGGCTTAGAGGATTCTAGCAAGACAGGCAAGCCTGGGCGGGAAGTGTGCTGAGGGTCAGGTCTTCTGGTAGCAACGCTGAGGTGGAGTTTGGGATGTGAGGTGTTTGAAGAGAAGTCCAGATGGACCTTCGGAAGCCTCAGTCCTCTGGAGCAAAAATGCCCTGCCAAGATTTGCCTGGGCAAAATGGAGACTAGGTGCCCCCACTTCTGTAGCCACTTGGATCTGGGCTGCTCAGGAAACACAAAGCCCTTGGGCAGTGCAATGGCAGCAGAGCAGGCCCTGAGAACTCTGGCAGTAGGAGGCCCTCTGCTGACCATGCTCCCCACTGCTGATGGCAAGTCCTTTGGGAATGTGGAAGGTACAGTATTATGGCGTCCTGAGGAGTAGGAGACTTTGGAGAGTTTGTTGCATGCAGAAGTCCTCTGAAATTAAAAAGGAGGTCAGGATGGGCTTGGTGGTGCATGCCTGTAGTCCTAGTGACTTGAGAGGCTGATGCATTTCAGCCAGTCTCAGCACCTCAGCAAAGCCCTAAGCAAATAGTGAGACCCCATCTTAAAATTAAAAAAAAAAAAAAGAAACAAATGGGATTATTTTGCAAGTTGATAACACAGACTTTGAGGTCCTAGAAACCTCTCAGCACAGTAACATTGCCTTGGACCC